CGTCAAGGAAGGCTGGCACTTAATACGTTTTGATGGACAAAGTCTTGACGATTTGGGAAATGATGCACAGAAGAAATAAAAGGGATTCATTTTCTGCTCATACCTTTCAATAAAACATACCATATGGTTCCTTTCCTACAGTTTTGTCATGCCTCCCACACCATTCCTACTTTACAGAAATTCATAATTTGTTTTTACTTTTGTTTGATGTTTTTTTAAAATTCTGGAATACATTTCCTCTGCTTTAAATAAGGTTTTAAGCAAGTTTGTCTCTATTGTAACTGTTTATACAGTGCATACAAAACATTCACGTGACTATTATTCATAGAAATGAGAAAACAAATGGCATAATGAAGTGCTTTGATTGTAATTTTCAGGGAGTTCTTGATGCATTTCCAGTTTGAACAATAATTAGGAATTTCAAATTAGCTTGTTTTTATAAGAAACTTTGATCTGGCTTACTGGGCTTCTCTGAGAAGTCTGAAATTAATCAAGCATAACATTTGACCGCTAGGAATGTGTTTCTTAACAGTTGTGTATCAAAATAACAAATTTGATATATTAAGAAGTAATGGGGTGCTTTAGGATTTTTAAATATATATCAGTAAATTGGAAAAGGAATGCCTAATGATGTTTTCGCATTAAAGATATCATTTACAGAGCTTCTATGGACTGGTGTATTAACCACAACAGAAGCATTGTGATTTTGGTAGTCGGTAAGAAATAAATCTAATAATAATAAGATGGTCCAAGTCCGCTTGTTCACTGTAACAGTTATTTATTGTTAAACGAACCCAGTTGTAATTTTACGTCTTTCCCACAGGTGGCCTCATCACCAAATAGAACTTGAGGTGAGTCACACACTTGTTAGCATGTACATACTGTACGTTCCCTGTTCCTCGTCAGAATTACTACAAACTTTTTTTTATACTTGTTTTTTTAATATAAAACAATGAAAATTACAGGAACCAAAGTGTTTACTCCCTCATATGGCAGCTATCTATGTCATAAATATGACTATTTTCCCGAAATACATCAAATTCACGATGTTCCTAATGTGTGTGTGCATATTAAACACAACAGCTGATGAGCTCACGTTTCTACTTTATACTATGTAAAAAAAAAACCCTCATAAATACAAAGTTAATCAATGGTAATACGACCTTGATCATGTTTTGCAAAAATCACTTGCTTTCACTTCACCGCAGGTTCCTGAAGCACAGTAGCAATTCATATTTGCGCACTGTTGTCATTGCTCTGAAGATACTGTTATCTTTACTGCTCTACTACTGTCCTGCTTTATTTAGCATATGGGAAAGGGTGCATGAACATCACAGCGCATTAACGTTACAAGTTATAATTCAAAACGAGTACCAAAAAAAAAAAAAGATTCAGATTTGATTGCACATTTCAATATTTGATCATATCTTCCTCTTGAAAATGCTCTGTAATGAGTTCAACTCAACTTTCGTCCCAGTAACGTGTCACACGTATGCATTTCTTCCATAGTTGCTGGGGGCAGACCGGGAAGTAGTGGACAGCACACGTCCCCTGGAGGACGGCTGGTATGGATAAGGCCTAAAAGAGTCAGAAGAAGATTTGGTAAGACATGCTCTCTGGCTATACTCACAGAAAAGTGTTTGATACGTACACTTTTTCACCCGGCTCCTTACAACTGCACGCGCACAACAGACAACCACCTCCACACAGGGCAAGTACTGCCGAGGACCAGCCGATGTACAAACCTTCTCCGATCTCGTACCTGGGTCACAGTGACATTGCACAAAAAGATCCCATCTGTGTCATGTTATCGTTGAAAAGCAATCGCGTATGCATACTCACTTTGTCCCTGGGTAGAACTGGTCAAAGAACTCCTGCGTGATGTTGGCTGCATACCAAGACACAGCAATCATGGTACACATACCTAGAAAAAGCACACAACATGACCACTCTCACATCATTGCTTTTCGTATTGTACACAGCTTGGCCTATTTTAACGCTGACATTTGATAAGAAGAGACTTGTGTGTATGAGAGTACCGATAACCCTTTGAACTGGCCATCCGCTTTTCAGATAGCTTGTCTCCTGTATACACAGATTAGAGTTCCTGAAATGTTAGCTTTTCTGGTGTTTGGGGATAATCGTAGTTAAATGGTTATTTTGTACTACGGGAAGAATTTGAATCCATGTGACTTTTACCGCAAAACAATTTGTTGAGCTTGATGTGGAAACCGACGCTGAAGAGTTGTCAGTCCCTGCAGATTTGTTTTTGAGTAAGCACGATTACACAAGAGCCACTTGACCTATTTGGAGTAGGAAAGTGTGCTTTGTTTTGATCAGGACATTTTTTAAAATCTCTATATCTGTAGTTTTTTTCTTTCAGGAAATGGAGGTGTTCACGTTTTGTTTCAAACTGGCATTTTTGGCTTATGTAGACCCACTCCATGTTGTAGCATTGAAATCATTCATCCGCCCGTCTTTGTTCTTACCCTGTAGTAAGAAGAACACCCCTCCGATTGCAGCAATCCTCCCCTTCAGAACGTAGTTTTCACCTCCGATTTTCGAGCACTGCATTCCAACCAGAGTTCCCACAAGCCCAAATGTCCCGAACACGATGGCGGCGATCATCAATGCTCGAGACGCTTGTATGTACCCTGCGCACAAACACAAAGGTACAATCCCGTGTTTATTGATACAGTAATACACCACCGCAGCAAAATCAATTACAATCCTTTCAGCAAGTGCCAAGATCAACAATTCAATAATTTCAGGACTTTTATACATTGCTGCTTGGTTGCACAGAAACTCCCGGATTCCATCGAAATACCGTATGAACCGTTGGGACTGTGACCAGTATAGGCTTTAGGTTTAGACATTTGAGAATAACAAATGTTGTACTGTTGTGAGCCGATTGACAGATACCTGATTTCTAGCATGTCTTAGTATTTCTAAAACTAATCTTAAATGTGCTGCTTGGTTGCACAGAAACTCCCGGATTCCATCAAAATACCGTATGAACCGTTGGGACTGTGACCCGTATAGGCTTTAGGTTTAGGCATTTGAGAATAACAAATGTATTGTTGTGAGCCGATTGACAGATACTTGATTTCTATCGTGTCTTAGTATTCCTAAAACTAATCTTAAATAAATGACGATGCTTTGCAAATGTATGTGGGGAAAACATTGGTGAATGGAGGTTGCTTTACAGAGCTTCTATGGACTGGTGTATTAACCACAACAGAAGCATTGTGATTTTGGTAGTCGGTAAGAAATAAATCTAATAATAATAAGATGGTCCAAGTCCGCTTGTTCACTGTAACAGTTATTTATTGTTAAACGAACCCAGTTGTAATTTTACGTCTTTCCCACAGGTGGCCTCATCACCAAATAGAACTTGAGGTGAGTCACACACTTGTTAGCATGTACATACTGTACGTTCCCTGTTCCTCGTCAGAATTACTACAAACTTTTTTTTATACTTGTTTTTTTAATATAAAACAATGAAAATTACAGGAACCAAAGTGTTTACTCCCTCATATGGCAGCTATCTATGTCATAAATATGACTATTTTCCCGAAATACATCAAATTCACGATGTTCCTAATGTGTGTGTGCATATTAAACACAACAGCTGATGAGCTCACGTTTCTACTTTATACTATGTAAAAAAAAAACCCTCATAAATACAAAGTTAATCAATGGTAATACGACCTTGATCATGTTTTGCAAAAATCACTTGCTTTCACTTCACCGCAGGTTCCTGAAGCACAGTAGCAATTCATATTTGCGCACTGTTGTCATTGCTCTGAAGATACTGTTATCTTTACTGCTCTACTACTGTCCTGCTTTATTTAGCATATGGGAAAGGGTGCATGAACATCACAGCGCATTAACGTTACAAGTTATAATTCAAAACGAGTACCAAAAAAAAAAAAAGATTCAGATTTGATTGCACATTTCAATATTTGATCATATCTTCCTCTTGAAAATGCTCTGTAATGAGTTCAACTCAACTTTCGTCCCAGTAACGTGTCACACGTATGCATTTCTTCCATAGTTGCTGGGGGCAGACCGGGAAGTAGTGGACAGCACACGTCCCCTGGAGGACGGCTGGTATGGATAAGGCCTAAAAGAGTCAGAAGAAGATTTGGTAAGACATGCTCTCTGGCTATACTCACAGAAAAGTGTTTGATACGTACACTTTTTCACCCGGCTCCTTACAACTGCACGCGCACAACAGACAACCACCTCCACACAGGGCAAGTACTGCCGAGGACCAGCCGATGTACAAACCTTCTCCGATCTCGTACCTGGGTCACAGTGACATTGCACAAAAAGATCCCATCTGTGTCATGTTATCGTTGAAAAGCAATCGCGTATGCATACTCACTTTGTCCCTGGGTAGAACTGGTCAAAGAACTCCTGGGTGATGTTGGCTGCATACCAAGACACAGCAATCATGGTACACATACCTAGAAAAAGCACACAACATGACCACTCTCACATCATTGCTTTTCGTATTGTACACAGCTTGGCCTATTTTAACGCTGACATTTGATAAGAAGAGACTTGTGTGTATGAGAGTACCGATAACCCTTTGAACTGGCCATCCGCTTTTCAGATAGCTTGTCTCCTGTATACACAGATTAGAGTTCCTGAAATGTTAGCTTTTCTGGTGTTTGGGGATAATCGTAGTTAAATGGTTATTTTGTACTACGGGAAGAATTTGAATCCATGTGACTTTTACCGCAAAACAATTTGTTGAGCTTGATGTGGAAACCGACGCTGAAGAGTTGTCAGTCCCTGCAGATTTGTTTTTGAGTAAGCACGATTACACAAGAGCCACTTGACCTATTTGGAGTAGGAAAGTGTGCTTTGTTTTGATCAGGACATTTTTTAAAATCTCTATATCTGTAGTTTTTTTCTTTCAGGAAATGGAGGTGTTCACGTTTTGTTTCAAACTGGCATTTTTGGCTTATGTAGACCCACTCCATGTTGTAGCATTGAAATCATTCATCCGCCCGTCTTTGTTCTTACCCTGTAGTAAGAAGAACACCCCTCCGATTGCAGCAATCCTCCCCTTCAGAACGTAGTTTTCACCTCCGATTTTCGAGCACTGCATTCCAACCAGAGTTCCCACAAGCCCAAATGTCCCGAACACGATGGCGGCGATCATCAATGCTCGAGACGCTTGTATGTACCCTGCGCACAAACACAAAGGTACAATCCCGTGTTTATTGATACAGTAATACACCACCGCAGCAAAATCAATTACAATCCTTTCAGCAAGTGCCAAGATCAACAATTCAATAATTTCAGGACTTTTATACATTGCTGCTTGGTTGCACAGAAACTCCCGGATTCCATCAAAATACCGTATGAACCGTTGGGACTGTGACCCGTATAGGCTTTAGGTTTAGGCATTTGAGAATAACAAATATTGTTGTGAGAGCCGATTGACAGATACTTGATTTCTATCGTGTCTTAGTATTCCTAAAACTAATCTTAAATAAATGACGATGCTTTGCAAATGTATGTGGGGAAAACATTGGTGAATGGAGGTTGCGCCCCCTACAGGCTAACTTAATACAAACATGAAAGTTTGAAAACAAATCTGAAATACCACTAAAAATTAGCCACAATACAATAACAAAAAAAGTATTATTTTTCTTGCCCCAACCATTGAGCAGTATCCACTGAATAAAACCACACAATCGGCATACGTGAAGACAATATTATCTTGTAAGCACGTGGTTGTCGCTTCTGACGGTTATGAGGCCATGAAGAAACTATTCAGAGTTGTCTTATGGGTTTTTTTTTTTTTTTACTGGGGTTATTCTCGTTTATCTCCTTTCATCTCATTGTATTTTTATACTGCCCGTCTTATATTACCTGCTGTTTACCAAAGAACGCCACCCGTAGAGAGATGGGATTGTACTCAAAGACGCACAGACGATGCTGTGGTCAGCGCTGACAAACAACTCAAGTAATCACATCATCACCACTGAAAAGTTCAATTCAATGCTCTTTGTAGCAGCTTGTTTTCATCACTGCTCTGGTTCAATGCGACTTTCTTTCTATAAATTTTTTTTTCACCCCAACGGAGTAGTTGACAAACGTTCAAAGTTTCGAGCACATACATACCGCTTAGCGCGAGCAACGACGGAAAATCGCGGCAGTTGTGAACTCCCGTCGAGTCGGTGGCGCAGGACATCCAGAGATTCTCATAGATGGTGGACGTGGTGATAACGTTACCGTCCACTGTTGACACTCTCCAGTACCGATTGGGAAGGGCGATCCCGACCATCAGCCATCCCAGGAAGCCCAGGAAGAAGGCAAACGCTTCCACGACGGGATTCATAACTCCACGATTGCGCGTGATCCAGCCTGTCTTTTCCTAGCTTTCCCGACAGACTTCTGACAAATGTCGCCTGGCTAAACTATCTTCAAGAACAAAGCTGTTGTTTTTCTTTAGCCCAGCGTTCTCACTGTGCTTAGCCCATTTCCCAGCAACCCTTGAGCGAGGATGCTCGAGAAACCTCCAAATTAATGATTAATCCCCAAACAGCCCACTTCTGATTTCCTCTATTATTCGCACATCTCCCGAAGCTTTTTCAAAAGTCCACGTGTTTACCCAACTTAAGGGAAGTGAGGTTGAACCTCGACACCTGCTGACTAACGTCTATAGACTCAGAGCTATTTGTCACCTTCTGACAGTCGCTTTGAACACTGTCAATAATTCCCAGTCAGTCCTGATGGGATCTGAGTCCCAGTTGGCCTCTGCTGAAGGATGATGGGGGGGCGTCGTTGGTCACGAGGGGGTGACGGCAAAAGGGACACATGCGCCCACCCACTGATTTAAAAAAAAAAAAAAAAGACTTGTCTGTCAGCAGGCATTTTTCATGCCTCCAGTTTTTACTAATGTCCTGCAGACATTTTCAAGATTTGGAAATTTGAGGAGATGACATGATATGTCATATGTGAAATAAATTGGCTTGACATATACAGTATCCTTTTTCTACGGGAAGATTGCAATACTGTGATTGTCTTGGTCAAAAGAATCCAAAAGGTGGTTAAAAACACTTTCAATACATTTTGCTTATGAAAGCATAGTCGTATACTCCATCCGGGAATTTCACAAAAATGGATGAACAGAATTGCTTTTTTGTTTTAATGTCCTTTTTGTTCCACTTCATAATAAATCAAATGGATTCAGATTGATTTTGAGAAGAGTGGGGGGAAAAAAGGAGCTCTTTGAAGTACAATTTAAAATTAAAACGATCATATAAAATGTTGAGGATCAAATGCGCATTACAGCAGTTTGTTTAATTTGAAGTAAGTACAGTACGGTAATGTCATGGGGCAGGGGGAAAAGAAATTTTTCAAACACTGTACATTCAAATCTAATAATCACTGTGCAGTGACAATAAAGATTTTAAAACCTAAATCCTCTTCGATGAACTTTGATAGAAAAATGAACTTAACCAAATACTGTGTACGAAATGAAAAGAAGTTATTTTTCCAAATTAAAACATTCATAGTCTTGTCTTTATACAAATTACCCTCAACATATAGATAGAAAAAAAAACATTCCCTGGTTAGAAATATCAAGCAGCACTCCCAATGATTAAAAAGAAAGAAAGTGCACAGTCAGCTATAACATGCAGCTGAATCATCAGCACTTCAATACTTTTACATGCTAGTGTCGAAGGCTGTGAGCACTCAACCATAATTTTAACACCAGATTAAATTGTTAAAAGAATTTGACTTACCCGGTAGGGCCAAAAGGGATGGAAAGTCTCTGCAGTTATAGATCCCAGTCGAATCACTAGCGCAAGACACCCACAAGTTCTCGTATATTGTGGAGGTTGTAATGACGCTGCCTTCATTGCTGGATTCTTTCCAATACTGGTCTTGCAATGATACAGAAACCATGATCCAGCCTAGGAAACCAAGAGAAAGTGCTGAAATTTCAAGAATGTCCCTCATTTTGGAAAAAATGCTCTTTCTAATTCTCTCTCAAATCAGCCAAGATATCGCCTCCCTAAGGAGCTCTAAAGGCAACTTCTGTATCTGATGTACATTTTGGAGTGCACGCAAGGGTTTTTTTTTTTTTTTCTTCTCATGCACTCAAACAAACCGAGGACTAATTTGAACATTGATTTGTTGGCTGATATGTCTGCTATTCCCGCCCAAAATTGATTACATTTCACGTGCCTGGCACGTTACCATAGAAATGTAAGCGTACAAGGAACTCCCACAACAGTTCCTTTTGATCTAGGAAGAGGCGACAGCTTGTAAAATACATTACGCTGCCTATGTTATGCAAATACTTGTAAAATGTACTGTGATTTTTTTTTTTTTTTTTTTTTTTAGCCGGGGCGGGGGGCACTGTTTACATTCGCAATCTTTTCGAGATCTGCCATTGGAAACACTTTGTTATATCCAGACATTTTTACGAAACATAATTCATAAAGTCTTTGATGGTAGTTTCATCTTACTTTAGGAATATTTGAACAAAAAGTTGTCTGTCTTGCAAGATAAATGAAGTCACCCCAAGTGAGATGTGAGGACTTGGGGAAATATTGTCGGTGAATTGAGTTGGAATGTCATCGTGAACGTGATCTTGTCTCCCTTTTTGAGAAATTGGTAGCTGGAGATTTTCAAGAGGTTATTTTAAGGTCGATGAGCTAATACTGATAAATTAAGTGCACTCAATAGAGGCCTGAGCATACATTGAAACCTGGGTAAAGAGCAATTGGCGGGTGATTTATAGGAGGCAAATGTGTCTATTTTAGCACTGGTTAAGCATTAACAAGTAGAAAACACAAAAGATTCATTGAAATTGTTGGCCAGGTTAAATATTTTTTTTTCTCTACTGGAGCGTATAGATTTTAAAATGATGTCTGTTCTTTTCAAATAGTTTGTTGACATAGTACAGTGCCGTCCATTAAAAGAAATTGGCTAATATCACATTACCAAAAAAAAAAAGTGTTAATTTTAAATGTTCTACATAACAAATCAGAACAATTGTGCAGAAAGAAGCAGATATTATACAGAGGATGTTTTGGGGTGTCACATCCAATATTTTCTGTGATGCAAAATAACTGTAAGGACTTAATGGTTTTAGTCTGTATCTTATCAAAAGTAAATTTTCTACTGTTGTCAAGTAATCAGCAGGAAAGTTCAAAGTTCTGTCGTATACCTACAATATTGAGCAGACATTCAGGCTTTAAATCATAATCCTTTTTCTGTTAATATTTTATTTCCTTGCCCTTCCCTTCATCGTCTGAAATGCGCGTTCCCAAGTGTCCGCATTGACCCTTTCTGCTTAAAGGGGAAGTGGCCTTGAAACAAACCTGAAGGGCTTTTTGGGGGGAGTTTCAGACACAGGCAATGACCAAAGGTGGTGTCATTCGCACCTGAAATATGCAATAACTAAGATTCACATTTGCCGGCTTCAGTTTAACACATTTGCAGTCCAAAGAAATCTCATGAAAGAGCAATGTCAAAAATTCGACCTTTCTTATTATGGTAACAGTGGTTTAGAACCACACGGCACTAGATTGGACCCCTTGCATATCACAAATTCATTTATTATTATTTTTTAAATTTCCCTCTGTTTCCAAGATACCTGCCCTATAGACTATAAGTCGCACATTAGTTTGGCTGGTCATGCGACTTCTTGTATCTATTAAAGTCTAAGCTTGGACTGGCACCAAAAATTCATGTTCCCTCCTCGTGGAGGCAGCAGTGAACAAGTTCAGGTTAGATTCGAAACTTCAATTTCTAACTATCGAAATATTTTTTCTTTTTCGTTTAAAATGGCTTACCTTAACTCAAGTTGCGTTGCATTATGGCCAAAGGAGTCCTAGTCGGTTACCGTGCCTTTTGTTGCTGTAAATAGTAAATCCTTGTTGTGGTGCATGCTAAACTAGCGAGATGTCACACATTAGTTGTCATGACTTGCCTTTTCGAATGTCGCATGCATTAACGCACCAAACGTATATGCCAACCGCCGAAAGAAAGTAGAAGGAGAAATGGAAGAACTAGTAGCAGGTATGACAACTAATGTGTGACACATTATTAATTTAGCATAAAGCTTCCGCCACAAGGATTTACTATTTACAGCAACAAAAGTCAAAATAACCGACCAAGATTCTACATTTTGCCACAATGCAACGTGGGACTCCACTTAAGGTAAGCCATTTTAAAGTAAAAAGAAAAAGTTTTTCCATCGTTAGAAGTGGAAGTTTCTCATTCAACTGGAACTTGGGGAATTTGAGGTGCCAGTCCGAGCTCAACTGTTCTGAGTCTCGGGTATGCAAAAGACGAACTTTGAGTTCCCTCACAGCCAAGTGATATTTAAATAGTGTGTATGCCTTGGAACCGTCATTATTTGAGTATATAACAAGAGTTTCGGTGAGGTCACAGCTTCAATACTCGGCGTAATAAATCATTGTGATTCATCGCGATGACGGCAGCTTTTTATGCCTCCGTAAGGCGTGCATAAATGTGATTCAAAGACCACGAATGAGACATTTGCAACATTTACTCGGGTGAAATAACGTAGCGTATAACTCTGGTGTCCAGAATAGGTCATGATAGAAGATATCTGACTGAACAAATTGAAAGTGAAAGGAATATTTTAACGTTGGTCTGGATCTGATTTCCACGTAACACGTGTCCTTGTGTGTGTGTGTGTGTGTGTGTGTGTGTGTGTGTGTGTGTGCGTGTGCGTGTGCGTGTGCGTGCGCGTGCGCGTGCGCGTGCGCGTGTGTGTGTGTGTGTGTGTGTGTGTATGCACATGCTGATTTGTAATCCTTCATTAGTCACACTCCTCATGCACCGATAGCCTCACACACATCTGAACAGTGTAGAGGAAGGCATATTTATGCTTAGCAAGATTTTAATTCATTGTGTTTCTGGCGATGACCATTACATTAGTTGTAAGACATTAGATAAGAATACATACTGCTTATAAAGCTAACACAGTCCACACATGCAACTTATATTACACTAAAATACATAATTACAAGTTTATGCGCACAACAGATTTTTTAACAATGTTAAATTAATGTGACCATTATATACAGTTTCAGAGAGTACCGTACTATAATACTACAATGATGTATTTCCTCCACAGTTTAATGAGAGCTGCTACAATGGTGGAATATTAAAAAAAAAAAAAAAAAAAAGAACATTCTACTTTAAAGAATCACACACCCTCCACCTTTGGCTTCCACATAGTTTGGGTCGAGGTCATTAGGCAGCTTTCCATTCTCAGCCCAGATGTTCAACTCTCCAAAAACGCCCGTCTCTATCATCTCCTCCTGCCAGGGGATTGGAACGTTGCCCGAAGCGAAGTCAGCAAAGAACTCTGTATCCTTGTTATCCATGACCACACCTTTGATGGTGCTGAAGGCGCCCACGTCGTCGATATCTTTGGCGTAGACCATTCGGGGATCAGGAACAAATGGTGGAGGCAGCATACCTTGGTAAAAAATGAGCGGAAAAAAACATATTTCTTGTTTATAAAAAATATATATATTTTTAGTCATGAAAAATATATCTTTGTTCATCTGTCTAGTCCAGCAACCTATTGTGATGGACGGAGCAATTAAACATGGCAGCTGGTTAGTGGTGTGCTGTGATATACAAAGGTTAGGAAACACTCAGCTGCGTCAAAAGGCCTTTTACACTCAAGTTTTGGTTAAAATGCACTCTTCCAAAATGTATTTGCGGGATATCAGAATGGCCTCCCGAAGCTGCCGTTTTGGATGTGAGCTGGGTTGAGGCTCTCGTGTGTAGCCGCCATCCTGCCGTTGATGGTCAACACAATTGAGAGCAGTTAAAGCATCCTGAAGCAAAACATCAAGCTGTCCAAAAACTTGACGAGTTTAATGGATGCAAGAATTGCAAAGTTGCAATCAAATAAGTGTTAACCCTTTCATGCACCTTGTAACCTGAAAACACGATAAGCTGTCCACTGTAGTCAGGCAGCTGATTTATCTCCGTAGATAAAGTGAACATGTGCAGACTTTAAGTGTACTTTAGCGCGATGATAAATTTGCGGAAGAAGTCACCAGCCTCAAGACGTCCCCAATTAATCTCCTTGAAGAACGGTTGACGCTTGAGATCAGCGCACTCGTTGTTTTTGAAGCCAAGGCGTTTCCCCGGATCCTTTTCCATCAGCCCTTCACAGATCGCTTTGCAGTCCTTGCTAAAGTTGGGCGTGTACGGAACCGGATCGTTCAAAATTCTGTGGGCCACTTCGTCATTCTCCACCTGCAAAAAAAAAAACAACAACCTACAATTAGCAAATTTGGAAACTTATTTATGTTAAAGACACCTAGTGCATCTCTTTCCCGTGCCCTCAACCTTCTCTCCTCGTATTCTGAAGGGTCCTTTGGCTGCGATCATCTCAAACAAAGTCACTCCCAGAGTGAAATAATCCACTGTGTAGTCGTATTCCTTTTTCTGGAGCAGCTCAGGAGCCATGAAACCTATTAAAGCATATTATAAAGTGAATATTCACACAGAAGTAACTATAGTTGGAGAAAGATTTTTTTTTTTTTTCTGACTTGCAATGTTATTCCACTTACCGGGAGTTCCCGCATAGCCAGTAGTTTTGTCTTTTCCTGGAGGAAGTTCAACAGCCAGGCCCAAATCTGAGAGGCGGACGTGTCCTGAGTGACAAGACACGTGATTACATTAATGCTGTTGAATGAATCAACGCTGCTGCAATGGCCGCCAGCCAGGAGGAAAGAGTAAATAGAAGACAAAGGCGGCCCAAAGTTTGGGATTGTTTCACGTTTTACAAATTGAAGATCGAATATACAATATATGTACTCCAAAGCAGAACATCTACAATTGCCAAAACAAAATAAGCCGTTCAGAGAATGAACGAAATCAACGTTAGTTCATCTGTTATAGCCTACCACCAGTGCATTGGTCGTTTGTGCTCCATGCAGACGCACCAAAAATCTTTGCTCCTCAGATCTAACCTGCATCATCCAGCAGCACATTCTCTGGCTTGAGGTCTCTGTAGATGATCCGGTGCTGGTGAAGGTGCTCCAGCCCGCAGATGATCTGTGCTGTGTAGAAAGAAGCTCTCTTCTCGTTGAAACCGGGGTTTTTTTCGTCCACGTTGTACATATGAAACCTGACGCAGGATGGGGAACATTATGCAGCTCTGAATTCAACTGCATGAATATTGGTCTAAAGACATCTTTAGCCTCTTAAGTACTTCTTACTGTCTGACTTAAAGTGTGACGCACCTGACGGCCTAGTGAGAATGTTAGCTTGAAGGTTTATCTATACTTGAACTAATTAGCAGACATGGGAGTGTATTGGGGGCAGTGCGGTGAGCTAGTGGTTAGTGCGTCTGCTTCCTAGTTCATTACTAGTACAGTACAATTTGGATGTTTCCCCTTAGCTTGCATTGGTTTTCCCTGGGTGCTATGACTTCTTCCAATATCCCCAAAACATGCGCGGTAGGTTCAGTGGCAGTTTCTGATTGTGCAGTATGTGCTGTTGCACATTTCGGGAATCACCTTCCCCCAAATTATCCATCCATCCATCCATTTTCGAATACACTTATCCTCACGAGGGTCACGGGCGTACTGGAGCCTATCTCAGCTGTCTTTGGGCAGTAGGCAGGGGACACCCTGAACTGGTTGCCAGCCAATCGCAGGGCACACATAGACGAACAACCATTCGCACTCACACTCACACCTCGGGACAGTTTAGAGTGCTCCATTAACCTGCCATGCATGTTTTTGGAATGTTGGAGGAAACCGGAGTACCCGGAGAAAACCCACGCAGGCACGAGGAGAACAAGCAAACTCCCCGAGACTGGAGCCGGAATCGAACTCTGCACTTCTGCACTGTGAGGCGAATGTGATAAGCAGTCGGGCCCCAAGCCCCACCAAAAAAATAAAATAAAATATATGTGCAATGGTTTTCTCTTGACCTCATGACATGTAAATCATTGGGGTTTGCATGTATGGTACACACACAAATAATTTTTCCACAACACACACTTTAAGTGTTTTTCCCATGTTTTTCCCATGTCGATTCATTTGGTCTAATGCATGATTTCCGTTGACATAGATACTATCTAACTCGTCCTTCAAATACAATTTACTTGGGAAAAAATGCTTTTATTAGGGCCAAAAATATACATTTTTTTATGTATAGGAGGAATGTGTGGTCATTCCTGGGGAATGATGGGAAATGTTATTTATTGTAAGCAACCTCATTCTTAATGGCTTTGGTGTGTTGATATTTAATGGTCTCTCTTGGTGTGTGTGTGTGTGTGTGTGTGTGTGTGTGTGTGTGTGTGTGTGTGTGTGTGTGTGTGTGTAAAGCTGTGGTCAGTCTTTGCATAAAGCACCTGAGATCCCCGCCATTCATGATAGTCATGACTAAACAGAGGTCAGTCTTGGTCTGGAAGGCGTAGGCCAGCGACACGATGAAGCGACTGTGGACTTTGGCAAGAATGCGCTTCTCCACAATCGCACCCTAAAAATGGAGAAGGATGCCATTAGAATCAGAGAAATGACCAATGAGCATTGGTACCCTGCACATCCAAAGAATTGTTTGCCTTGATAACTTTTAAAGAAGCCCATTCGTGGTACAGTGATTTACGTCGCTCATTTTTCTTCCCTTGTGATTCATTTTCATCACTCTTGCTAGCAGATAAAATATTCGCTGTTTTGAACAATCATATCCAGTTGACTATCACAGTAAGTACAACATTTTTTTTTGCAGTGTCGATCTAAAGTGTCATAATCCTCCAATGGTTTTAGAAGCACTACACTAGGCTGAGCTTCTTTGCGGGTTCTCTAAAAGAGTCACAAGCTTCTTTGCGCTTAGCCATCATCGCAAAAAACTAAACCTCCGCACTCAGGCCTGCCTTTGAATGATCTTTCTTGTTTCCTGATTTGTTGCTTTCATGTGTGCTAACTTTCTCTTGGCTGATTGTGTGCTTTCGGTGCTTTACCTCATAGCCTTTGCGTTTCTTCAGCCTCTTTTTATCCAGCTTTTTATTGGCGTACATTTTGCCCGTGGCCTTAGCCTGACAAGCGTACACTTCTCCGAAACCTCCCTTGCCGAGGACCCTGAAGTCCATGAACCACTCCTCGTCGACGGGCTGGCCCTCCAACCACTTGAACTGAACGTAACGCAGGAAGTACATGCTCTGCTTGAAGCCGGCCATGGCCTTTGTCTCCAGGTGTTTGAGGAGCTGTTTCTCGCTCTCTTTAAATAAGTCACCGTGGACGTTTTTGAAGTCCTCCTTCACTCGGGTGACAGCCTTCTCTTCCAGGAAACTGCAGAAGTTCTTTGACGCCGACTCGTAGTATTTATTGACCATCTTTTGAGCCTTCTGGACTCGGTCCTTTTCTTGGCAAATGAGGTAGTCTTCAATGTCCTTCCACAGCTCTCCGGCAGTTTTGTGGGCGACGTCGCTCTCCAGAAACTGCTGGAAGAGCCGCTTGCCGACGGGCTCGTTGACGCACATGCTATCGAAGGTTTTGCCCACGGACGCTTTCATGTGTTGGCAATCTCGGATGTGTGGGAGTTTCAGCTTGGCCCGCATCTTTTTGTCTCGCAGGGTAGCCGCCGCTGCGCCATCCACGCTTCCTCTTGCTGACACGTAGGCCGAGTTGGCCACCACTGTCTCCAAACCTCCGATGTCCATGTTCACCCAACTTTTGTCTGCAACACATTACAAGGACGAAGGAGCCAACCCAATTTACAGTATACTGACATGTATCACTGTCAAAATTGAGATGCAGTTTGGTTCAACCTACAATCAAGCCGTAGTCACACAGTAGTGCGGAACTGTATTACAACTATATGTTGTATGTCAACAGCTAATTTTGATCAGAGATGGCTTTATGTGCCTAATCCAGTGCTTATTAATTATTTTCTCATGCCCATCGCTGATGCCTTACTAACATTAAAGAAAACAAACAAAAAAATATTGACCAACATATTACAGAGAAGCACTTAACCTTTTTTTTTTTTTGTGGTCACACTGAAGCATTGAAGTGCATCAATTTGCCTGAAATAACCAAAAAATTAGAGCACTACTTCCACTTATCATAGTGGATGTGCAGTCACACTTCATTCTTATACGGTAAAACAAAACTGGGAAAAAAAAAACATCTCGAAAAGTTTATTTGCATCTTGGATTTACAAAAACAATTAAATAAAAAAAAAATTGTTGACCAGTGTAATCGTTTACTGAATACTCCCATTGACAACTGATCAATGAACTACTTTTGTAATGGCCTAATTTTTGATCTCTCGCATTGTATCCCTTTCAATTGTGCAGCTGTATCAAATGTTGCAGCCACTGAGTGCCGTGCACTATTGTCTTCTGCCAACGGTGGCTTTTTTAGAATGAGGCGGAGAGCAGAGGAAACATTTGACAGGGACTGTGCTGCACCCTGCTGTTGAAATATGAACCATCCAGAAAATATCGTTCGATACTGTACATGTAACTCAGATTGTGCACGCACTGATGTGCTGAAACACGGTTCTGTCTCGGTAAAAATCTCCCACACCAGCAAAAAAATGGAACAGGAAAAGTGGATTGTTTAATTAAGACTTCCTGGATGTAAACGCCTTGACCTGGAACACTTGTGTCAAGTGATAGTGCAAGTGGCTCCTTCTTTCTGCTTAATCCAATTAACACTGACCGTTGATTCTTGCGATTTACAGATGATTGGCCTTGTGGTAATTAACCCACATTCTTGGATTTGCTTTATAAACAAATCTAATCCCATGATCCATTCCGTATCAATGTCTGTGTATTTTAGGATGACACACAAAAAATACATATGTATTGACTGTACTGTATGTGCATTATTCAGCCATCCTCTTCTATTGCTCCAGCGATAAAGTGACCCCGTGTTTGAGTGGGGCCGAAGAAATCTGATATTTAATCTCCTGTTTTGAGAGCAAAAGTGAGCTTTTGCATTCAAATCCCTGACAGCGCCTCATCTAAATTGTCGCTTTATTAATAATGACGTACAACAAGTTTTAATGTTTCATTAAAAAAATAAAACGATCGTGATTGTACGATACATCATTATTTTAAAAAAAAAATCACATCTATATTTATTAATGTTGAGTAGCACTCACCTTAACTTTTCGCTGCAGAGCCACCTGCTGACCAATTTCTTGTTTGGGTTGCTCCTTGTTCCTCCATCAACCACAACAAGTAAAGGTCGTCTTGAGCAGCTCTACCACGTAGACTGTCTCCTCATCCCCTCACAGTGTAGTGAAGCCAAGACACATCAGGTGGAGCTTTACTGTGCACCTAAAATCCAGCTTGGTGCTTCATTTGGTGGCCAGGATTACACGCAGGGCCACTTGACAGAAGCTATTAGTGTAACTAGTAGAATGCAGGCTTCCCTTTTCAGAGTCACTGACTAAGCGTCCAAAATTCCCTGGCCATCCAAAGCAAACACTTCAAAGCAAGGCAGCTTTGTATTACGTCTTTCTTACTTATGGCAAGTGCCTAATAGTGGTCTACATTTACAAGTGAGTTTAGATATTGGTGTTGCATGTGGAAAGATACAGGACCTAAAAGTGAAGTAGCACATATACAAGTCTAATCCTGCTCAGTGACAAAGATCAAACCTACCCAATTTAGTGATTTTGTCTATTTCCATCCATTTATCCAGGCTTGATTCACAGGGACAGCACCCAGGGGGATCCCAAGATGTTACCAGACCAGCCGCAAAACATAGTCCCTCCAGCATCTTATAGAAGTAAGTGTTGGATTTCATTTGTTTCAACAAACAATTGATTTTGCAGAACCTAATTGACTGGCACGTATTTTAATATTTAGCTTCTCGGGCGTGGCAAAATACACCGGCTAGCAGTATGATGCGTTGCAGTTCTCTCGTGCTTTTGTTTTAAATAAGACTGCCCATGGGGGGGAAAAAATCCTATTATGCTGCCACAAGCACTGTTGACAAATTCCCAAGCCTCCACAACCAGCTGAGCTTTAAATCATCTTCAGCAGATTAAATGCAAAGGTGTGCTTAAACTCGACCCATGTTGTATCACTATAAACCTCCAAATATTTACCTTTCGTGTAATTGCCATATAGTCGTACAGTGGATATAAGAAGTCTACACACCCCCTTGTTCAAATGCCCATTTTTTGTGACATAAAAAGATGAGGCCAAAATAAATCATTTGTACACCGTTTCCTCTTATTAGTGTGTCTTAAAAAATGGAGAGATTTTCAAGAGGGAGAGTAAACAAACACCTGAAATCATGTGGTTACACAAGTGTGCATTTTTATAACTGGGGATGTGATTGTGTAGAGAATTAACCAATCAGATTCAAACTCATGTTAAATGCAAAATGCATCAAACCATGTTTGCAATTAAGGACAAAAGTTCACTTTTGGTTTCAGCTAATCATACCGCATTTTGCCACATATTTGCGGGATTTTGCTCTGTGTTGATGAAACCAAGGTGAAACCTTTTGGACATTTTGGGGACACTGGACCTATGTGCATTTTGACCATTTTTTTCATTTTCTGCAAATAAATGCTCTGAATACAGTATTTGTATATAGCGCTTGGAAGTTATGTTTTCAGTAGTTTGGGGAATAACAAAAAAAATGCTAATTTTACTCAAACTTTGTCTAATAAAAAGCAAAATCTGAGAAACTGATATTTTTTTCACCGGTCTCGCAACAAACTGAAGCTCGACCAATAGCAACAACGCTTACAGAAACCAGTACACTAACTGACTGTTTTCATTGGCCAATTCTAGCTAGCGTCACACCTGCGGATTGATGACATAGTGATGTTGCGTTGATGGCGTCGAAGATATTTTAATATATTTTAATTGGAATGGATGGACGTTTCAGTGGATTATTTCGATTCGATTTTCAACTTTCTAATAAAGTTTTCTTTTAATATGTTAAACAACCTTTATATGATTCAGGTCAGAATTCCAATCTAACGTGACGTCCGGGAAGCCATCTTGCTCCGAGTGCTGGCGATGGCTGCGTTCGACTCTGCGCATGCGCTTATATTTGGGTACGTTTTCCTTGACTGTGGAAGGGGAGGAGAGCTGGCTGCTGCCGCCTGAGATGAAGGGAAACCGGATTCACTAAAGAAGCTGTTCAAGCTTAGTCGGATTCCACGCGGGTGTCTGATCATGGACTTTCTTCTGAGTGGAGTGGCGGCGTGCGGGGCGTGTCTCGTGACGAACCCGCTGGAAGTGGTCAAGACTCGCATGCAGCTGCAAGGAGAGCTTAAAAGTAGGGGGACCTATCAGGTTTATTATCGTAATGTCTTCCACGCTTTTTATACCATCGCGAAAGTGGACGGACTGGCTGGCTTACAAAAAGGCCTCGTGCCCGGACTATGGTATCAGTTTTTTATGAACGGCATCCGACTCGGCTCGTACGCGATCATCGAGTCCTCTGGCTACATCTACACGGATGGACGAGTCAGTGCACCCAAGACCATCATAGCTGGAGCTACGGCGGGAGTGGTTGGAGCTGTGATGGGCAGTCCAGTGTATTTGGTCAGTAACCCGTCTTGATCTTCTCAGAAACATATCTTTGTTGTATGTATTATATAAAACAACGAGTTTTTGTCGTTTTCAGTTCAAATAAGCAGTGTCCACTCGCTTTCCGTTGCCTAGAAGTAGAAGTATCTTGGCATATTTTGATTTCAATCATAAAGTCGGCGTTGAAATATATTTCAAACTTCTTTGTATATATCGCGTGATCTAAGTTTAGCCTTTTTTTTTTGCCATTGTGGAGGTTATCTGTATTCTCATCTGTGGTCTCAATGACAGGTCAAGACTCATTTGCAGAGTCAGTCAACTGTTTCCATTGCCGTGGGACATCAATACAAACATCAGGTAGCACATATATTGTGATAATGATCATCTTGCTTCAGTTTAATTACAAGTGTACATTCTCGGTGTGAAATTGGGGCCTGTTTAGTGA